CTTCCGGTTGGAGATGGCTTATTAGTTTTGTGTTCCTCACCAGGACCTACTGTGGAAAACAACTCATGCAAATGGTTACTATGGTGCCTGGCCAGGGTGGGTGGTTTCAGTCAGTGTGCTTCCCCTAACACTGGGACTCTTCACATACCTTGAGAATTAAACTTGCAGCCATTCTATACTTAATTGTTTTGCTCCAGAGCTTCCCTGGTGACCCAGATGGTAAAGAATATGCCCACAATGCAGGAGACCTGGGTTCAATTCTTTGGTCGGGAAGATCCCCTGGAGTAGGAAATAGCAACGCACTCCGGTATATTTGCCTGGAGAATTCCATGGACAGAGGAGCCTGGCCAGGTTACAGTCTGTGGGATCACAGAGAGTCAGACTGAGCAACTAACACTTTCACTTTTCTTTCACTTGTCTCCCAAAGAGAGAGAGTCAAATGCTTACTGCCTCTGGTAGGTCCCAAGGTTAAGCTCCAAGGAGCTCGAGAAAACAAAGCTATCTCTCTAGGTATTTATACTTCAAAAGAGATGAAGGTGCGGGCCAGAGCCTCAGGAAAAGACTAAAGATTAGATTGGAAGAAAAGAGAATAGAAGCCACGTTTCGAAGACCTGTAGTACAGGTGCTTCGTCAGTTTGTAAGACATGAGTCTGAAGTAGCTAGCAGTTTGATTCTCGAAAGGTCTCTGAATCGTGTGCAGTTGGTTGGTTGAGTAGGTCAGGACCCTGTCATGAGACAGGTAGATGGAAAAAACCCAGTCACAATATTTTCCCTAGCAACAAATGAGATGTGGCAATCAGGGGAAAATGAAACCTACCAAATGGGTGATGTCAGTCAAAAGACAACATGGCACAGAATTTCAGTGTTCCGACCGGGCCTCAGAGATGTGGCATATCAGTATGTGAAAAAGGGGTCTCGAATTTTTGTGGAAGGGAAAGTAGACTATGGTGAATATACAGATAAAAATAATGTGAGACGACAAGCAACAACAATTATAGCAGATAATATTATATTTCTGAGTGACCAGATGAAAGAGAAGCCGTAGACTGGACGATTCTTCTCTGGCCGGTGTTTGGTACAGTCTCGTTTCCAAATCATGCTAGTGTTTATAGTTCCTAAGGACAAGAATTAAAATACTCTCCGTTATAAAATGAAAAAAAGAAAAAAAAAAGAGATGAAGACTCGGAATTTAGAGATCTCTAGGATCTAAAACCTGGAACTCCTGGAGCTATCTTCTTCCTAGAGAAATTTTATTTACATTCCAAGGGGTGGTGTTAAGATTCAGGCCAGTGACATTCCTAAGGAGACCATTCCAGAAGAAGAGAGAGCAAGTTCCCTTTCCCTCCTTAAATGAAGTCGCTCAGTCGTGTCCAACTCTGCAATCCCGTGGACTGTAGCCTACCAGGCTCCTCCGTCCTTGGAATTCTCCAGGCAAATATACTGGAGTGGGTTGCTATTTCCCGCCATACAAGTAGTAAAAAATCATCTTTCCTTGTCATTAGTCTTTGAATATCTGGTCCTTGAATGGGACCCAGCCCAGAATAAGACCCAGGCCAAGACAACTCTGACTCACTGATTATTTCTATAAATCATTTTGTACACTCGCAATATGTGATGAAAACATTTAAGAGAAAAACTGAACATGAAGAAGAAATGGCCAAAATATGTCATGATGCGATAAGCACTGATGAACTGGCAAAGAGAATGGAGAGGCCCCAGTTCTGAACTTAAGTTTGCCCAGGGTGGAGGCCCTTACTCCTTTACTGGTCTTTTCACTTGTCAAACGAGGTTAATAATTCATACTACCCACGAATCTTCTGAGCATCACAAAAGACAATGGATAAGAAAGTGCCTTGTAAAGCTAAAAGTGCTATACAAATGTACAGCGGCTTTATTCTCCATTGTACTGGATACGCTTGGCAGAAAACAAAGTGCTACATACTGTGACTCAGTCCTAAACTCCTTTGATTGGGGCCCGCCCCAGCTTACAGACATGGGCTGTGATGTTGCTGTTTCAGCTTCCCAGGAGTCAGGCTGACTAGGTCGTAGGATTAATGCCTGTTTACACACCGCGAGGGAAAAGGGAGCCTCATCAAGGGGCGTGGGGGAACACACAGCCACTTCCACCAGAGGCCTGGATCAGCTTCAAGGGACAAGGTGTGAAGCCCCCAGCTCACATCTGAACATTTCCTTCTGCTCTAAGCCCAGAACCCTGTTCCAGAGCGTGAGCTAAAGGCTTCACTTCCAACCTTACATCAGTTGGAAGCAAATGCAATAAAACATGACCAGTCTGTGCCTCCCCTCCACACCCAATCCCACCTTCTGAGTAGAGCATCCACCAAATTTCACTGTAAATGCTGCTGCCTCCCACTGCCACCCACAAAAAAAAAAAAAAAAAAAAAACTTAAAAACCATAACTTCAAAGCAAACAGAGATCTGCTATTTGTTTGCGATTTTATTTTTAAAATCTGTGTTCCTATTCCCCTCCACTACTATGGAAAGACAGCTGATAAAGGACACATCTGTTAAGATGCATGTGAACTGTGCATGTTTATTGATTTCCTTCGGCTTCACGGCCTGCCCACCCACCAGAGCTCCCTGAAGATGCAGGGCTGAAGGCCTGGTCTGAGTAGGCCCTCCCTCTGCAGTGGATCTTCACCCACTGAAATGACCCCTCCTCCCTCTTTGTATGATGGTCTACTTAGCCCGGAAATGGAGGGAGGGGAGAGGAAGGGTTCAGATTCTATTTGTCTTTGCAAACTGCCTTCCTTTCTTTGACTTGCTGGTGGTAGGTGTGTCTTAGATGAAGCTGAATTGCTTTATTTGAGGATTAAGTTAGGTTTGTGTTTGTTCAGTCTCTAAGCCATGTCCAACTCTTTGCAACATCATGGACTGCAGCACACCAGGCTCCTCTGTCCTCCACTATTTCCCAGAGTTTGCTCAAACTCGTCTGTTGAGTTGGTGACACTATCTAACCACTTCATCATCTGCCGCCCCCTTCTACTTTTGCCTTCAGTCTTTCCCAGCATCAGGGTCTTTTTCAATGAGTCGGCTCTTCGCATCAGGTGGCCAAAGTATTGAAGCTTCAGCTTCAGCAACTGTCCTTCCAGTGAACATTCAGGGTTGATTTCCTTTCAGACTGACTGGTTTGATCTTGCTGTCCAAAGATTAGGTGCCAGGAGCCAAAAGATCACCGGGCTGATATTCCCTGAGCACCAAGTGGCGTTTCCTTCTTCGCTGGAAGGGCTCCACCAACCACCATTGGCCCCTCCCCAGGGGCTGGAGAAAGCCAACCCCACCGCTCTGCCGCGTCCTGCTCTCTACCCACAAGAGGGCGCTCACTCCACGCCCCAGTATGTGGGCCTCCGGGGTTCTGGGACGGTATCTGTCCAGGTGGTGGTGGATACAACCAAGGCTGGTTGCAGCCTGGATCTCAAGCCCTGGGTCCCTTCCTGGTTCCCAACTGTGCCAGTCACTGCACCCTGCGGGGAAGGAGATGCCACTAGAGAAGGAGGGACACCAAAAGGTAAGGCTTCCAGTCCTCTTGAGACTGTCCACTCATCCCCACCCCAAGGAGGAAGAAGACAATGCCACAAACCTGGGCCCCAGGGAAGTGCGGAGGTAAGAGGAGAAGGAGGATATGGTTTCCCTTTGAGGTCCCCAGAGCCTACAGAGGAACTTGCCTGGGGCCCACCAGGCCTGCAGGGGACAGAACTGTGACAACTGCCCCATCACCCTGAGACACAATTTGCCCCCTTGCCCCCACCCTCACCCCCCATGTGAAAACACTAATGCAAACAATGAACTCAGGCAATAATTCAGACAGTTACCCACCTTCCCTGATGGGGGCTGAGAATGAGGCTTGACTCTGATGGAATAACTGGGGTGATTCATGCTGCTAAGGCTGTAGGGATTGGCTGGATCAATATTGACAGAAAAGCTTGAAGCCGTGGTTGCCCAGCCCTGGGGTCCCCACCTCATCCTGGGGACCCCCCACTCCACCCTTTTCACAAACACCCCATGATTCACATATTCACACAGCTGCCAGCTTCTCAGACCACCGCCCCTAATACAAAGAACCCTGCCCCCTGAATGCATGGACAGACTCCTAAAGCGTGCTTCCCAACTTTGACCACCCAGAGCATAGGCAGCAGAAGGGAACTCAAGCATCCAGTGTCCTGTCCATCTGTGGTGGTCTCAACAGGATGACAGAACACTCCCTGACCAGGCGCTGGGCATGTCAATGGCGCCTTCAATGCCCCCACTTCGCTGTACTGAGAACGTGGAACAGCCCTGCCCCCAGCACTTCTGGCCCTTCCACTCTGACCTTACTCAGAGCAAAAATAAGTCTTCATCATCAGGGACCTTGCTAGGACTATCTCTGCTCCACTATGGGCTCAACACAGCCTGACTCAGGTGCCATTTCCTTCTCCAAGCCCATCCCAGAACCCACTCTCCCGGGGACCCCTTGTGTGTGTCTTCATACTAAGTCACTTCAGCCGTGTTCAACTCTTTGCAACTCCATGGACTGTAGCCCGCCAGGCTCCTCTGTCCATGGGATTCTCCAGGCAAGAATGCTGGAGTGGGTTGCCATGCCCTCCTCCAGACGATCTTCCCAACCCAGGGATGGAACCCCCATCTCTTATGTCTCCTGCATTGGCAGGCGGCTCTTTACCACTGGCACCACCTGGGAAGCCTGGGGACCACTTGAGCCTTCCTTAAGATAGCTTCACCCAGAGTGGACATCTTTTCTAATTGACATAAAAGCCAGCTTATGAGCTCACAGCCACTCTGTTAGGGTACATCCACCATCTTGTGAGCCTTCCCACCAGTTTCCTGGCCTGGTGAGTCACCGAGTCACTGCCAGAGGTACCTGAGAGAAAACCTCCTGACGGCTGATGCAGCGTCAGAGGAGGAAACAGAAATCACTTGGGAAGCCAGGACACAAGGGTAGATTTAACCAAAAAATAATAATACATTTATTGTACAATTACCACCATTAGACAGACAGACCAGAGAGAAGGCGTCTCCACCTCCCAATTCATTTTCAGTCCCGGAGAAGTTCATTGTAGATCATAGCCAGGGCCCCCAGGAAGGTGACATATTCTTGAAAGTTCACCACACGGTCCTTGTTCTGGTCCAGTTCGCCCACTAGCTCTGTGATTTCAGCATCCTGCATCTTTTAAAGTGTCAGAACGGGAAATCCAGACTCAACGGTGACAAGACCTTGAGTTCTCTGCATTTCCCCCTCCCAGGCAGCCCTCTCTCATACAAGTGTCTCCGTTCTCACTTGTCACCAAAGATCCAGTTCCACCTTGGGTTCACTTGGCTTTACCTGTCCTCTGTTCCTCACTCAGGGGAGGGAATAGCAGGCTGAGAGGATCCCCAGCCCCGCAGGAGTGTGAACCAATGGTAAGGCATGTGGTCTAGGGCCCTGGAATGTGGACAGCGGTGAGTCAGATGCACCTGGCACCCCACCCTCTCCCAATCCTGCTGCTAAAGAGTGGAAGGTGGGGAGAGGGGGGCTGGGAGGCTCACTCATCTCCCCAAGGGTGAGCTCCTTCTTTCTCAGGGTGTTATTACCCTCACGGCCGGCCAGAGTACTTGTGGAAGATGGCCACCAGGAGGCTAATGGCCTGATCCAGGGGATCCCCATAGCTGAAGACTGGGCTCAGAGCTGCAGGAAACGGGGCAGGTCAGCACCCTCAGCAGCAAGGCCTTCTCACTCACCCACACGTGTCCCTCAAGACCACCGTCAAGCAACCCCTTCAACTCCCTTTGACTAGGGTGAGGTAAACCTTGGTGGAGAAAGGAGAAAGCCCAGGGCTGGAAGGGGAGGGGGAGGGCAGACTCTAGGGCCAAGAGATAAGTGCCCTGCAGAGAAGAGAACCAGAGCAGAGGTGGTTCAAGGATCCTAAGGAATAAATAAGACCACAGTTGAGAACTCTCCTCTAGGGATTCCAAGAAAGTTGGGGAGTATGTTGGGAGTGTGGGATGGAGGCTGCACACCCAGTCCCCCCCACCACACACACACACACACACCCTCACAGGACCACATACCATGGCGCTGACACACCCCACACCCGGGACACACCTTCCTGCACCCTACAAGGCCCGCTGTGGGGAGCTGCCCCATAGGATGCCTTAGCCCGGGGCCAGCCTGACAGGGCCTGCCTCTCCCCGCCACCGGCCTACTCTGAATGCGGGCGGACTAACCCGGGAGCGCCGCCCCAGAAGGACCGGGGCTGCCCTGGTGAGAACTCGCCGCCGGTTGCCGCGAAAGAGAAGGGAGCGACCGACCTAGCGGAAGGCTGTGCGCTTGGCCAGCCCGCAACTGTCAAGGAAGCCGGTCAGCGAAGGCCCCCCGCCGCCCACGTGCCGCCCCACGCCTCACCCTGGCCGGCTCTTTACACAGTAGCTCGGCCTGAACTTTCCACGCCCCCTGCCCCGGGGGCTTTTCGGAGCTCCGTGGGGTGGGTGTGAGGGGCTTAAGGAAGACCTGCACACCCGCCTAATCTCCAAAACTCAGTGTGTCCCCCATGTCGTGATGTGACAGGGCAAGGGGAGGAGGTGGAGAACCGGGCAGCGACTGTGTGTGTGTGTGTGTGTGTGTGTGTGTGTGTGTGTCTGTCTGTCTGTCTGTCTGTCTGTCTGTGAAGTAAGGGGGTGGCGATGCAGGGGAAACCCTAGATGAAGGATAGAATTGACAGGGCATCTGGAACACCCATCCCATTAGGGAAAATAAATTCCTGCCACCACCACCCTCTCCCTCCCCCCACACCACCTCCTCCCGAATTCCACTGGGAACCTCTTGCCCTTTAAACTGCACGAACACCCGCACACCCGAGAAGAGCCCTGTGTCAGTAGTTATTCACCCTCAACTGCAAAGTTTTTCAGATCCTCTCCTAAGAAAAGATTTTGATATGGAGAGGTGGGGAGAGCAGAAATCTCTGGACCCCAGGGATGATGGGGGTGGGGCTCATTGCAAAGGGGAAATAAGGGAGAAGGGGACTGGCATGGAGGTCAAGGCCAGACTCTCTTTTCTTAGTGTGTTGGGGGGAGGGGGGGAGTGGGGAAAGCCTCCTGTGAGTCAGGGACAAGTCATTCTGGCCAGCCCACCACTGCCCTCAGGAACCACATCCCAGCTGCCTCCAGTGATAGGGACAGAATAAAGGGGCAAAGTAGTGGGACAGTTAATCCCACTAGAGGACTATAAGTAGAAAAAGTATGAGACCCCTATGAATTGATGATTACTCAAGAAACTGGCTTTGCTTAGCCACAAAACTAAGCAGGCTTGCTTAGCAGCGAAACAATGCATCAGAAACATAAGACATACCCCGAAACAACAAAACAGTGATGGCATGAGCCCCACATACTGCCCAATGAGCTCAGAAAGTTAATGATCCCTAGGTCATGCTCTCTGTACTCATAAAAAACAGTAATTTGTGGACTTAACTTGATCACGTAGAGACAAGAAAACTCCCCTGCTCAAGCCAGAGGAGGAGCTAATGATGGAGGCATGATGTCTACTCAAGAAAGACAAAGGTCTTCTCCCCCTCTCCACCTTTCCTCTCATTGTAAAATTGTAACCCAGTAAATTCTTAGGGTCCAGCATCTCTCACTCATCCACTTGCAAGCCTCACAAGTCCTCTTCCAGGAAATCACTTCTTATCTATCACTTAGCCTCTTGCTGAATTATTTGCTGTGCTGAGACATAAAGGGCTATGGTACCAGAGCTCTTTGGAGCTCCTGAAACAGCATGTAAGGATTTCACCTGTGTCCTCATTCCCCAAGAACTTTCCCCCAGCAGCTTTCTCTGCATACTTGCGGCATTCCCTGGAGGCAAGCAAAAGGCTGGCCCCACTTCCCCATTTATTTTTTTATTTTTATTTTTTTGGAGGGCGAGACTAAGCCTGGATAAGATTAGTCACATCCACTCTGAAGGGAACCCAGAACCCTAACTCCCAGAGGCTGTCCACTTACTCAAGGAGAAGCTCTGCCTGGCCCCACCCCACCCCCAGCCAAGGTGGAAAAGAATCTACCAAACCAACCCTGGACACCTGGATTGGAAAACCTTTATTCCTCTGCTGGAGGGGAAGGCTGAAGCAGGGTCTATCTGGGAGGGAGGGGAAGGCGAGGGGCCATGGAGGGTTTGTGAGCAGAGCTGCAGCGGCCAGGGACCAGGCCCCGGTCACTGGTTCTCCTCCAGAAAGAAGTCATTGTAGGCCATGCACAGCGTGGTCAGGAACACCGAGTACTCCTTGAAGTCAATCTCCTGGTCGCTGTTCTTGTCCAAGCTCTTCATCAGGTCGTCAATGCTGCTCTCCTTCATCTTCTTCGAGGGCCCAGATAGAGAGATAAGTCAGCCAGCCTCCTCTCCCAGCCCTGCCGTGCCCCCTGGGAAGGTGGCCTCAGGCTGATCCTCAGCTGAGTCAGCAACACGGAGCATCTCAACCCCCAGAGCCTCCCCCCAGGCCACAGCCAGCATGGGATCTGACACCAAGCAGAGCCTCCGTGAGCTGACTCCTGAATCTGAATAAATGACTAGAGTGCAGGCTAGTGTAGGCCCCCCTCTTCCTCTCAATTTCTACCGTTCAAAGAAACAACTAGATTTCCTACACCACCTCATAGAAACAGCTTGGTAACTATACTGGCACTGAGCAGGATCCCAGTCTTACTCTGTCCCTGTTGGGGATCATTCAGAACTCAAGCAGATCGCACATCCCTCCACGAGAGCAGTGGTTAGAGCTCTGGGTTCCCTAGCTAGGAGAGCCTGCAGGACAGCGGTATGGAACGAGTGCATGGCACCCAGGCCTGCTCTCTATCTGGTCCCCTGCCCTCCCAGCCCAGCTCTACAAGAGGAGGGAGACAGGGCACTTGGGGGAACAGGAGGATAATACAGGCACATCCTGCCCTCTCCTCTTCACTGCCCTCCACTCCAGCTTTGGCACAGGAGACAGGACGTCGGGACAGGAGACAGGACGTCGGGACATACGGAGATGGAAACAGCCTCTCTGTGACGCCACGCTTGTCCCCAATCTGGGCTCCTGTTATAGCCAGGCCCTCCCCAGGGCCTCCGTCTCCCTGTAATTAACCCTGCCGGACCCACGGCCCCTCCCTCTGCCCTCATTAACTCCAGGATGCAGAGAAGTACGCAGGGAGGCCAGAGGGGAGGCCTGGTGACACCCACCCCTGCTTCGGTCTCCTGTCCACAGAGACACATTCCCATTTTTCTCTAGGGAAGACCACTAAGGTTCAGTGGACCCAGGCTGATTTTAAAGGAAGGAGGGAGAGTTATACATGGGGCTGGCCTGGAATTCCAACCTCTCACTAGCTGGAGATTATATAATATATCTGAGCCTTAATCTTTTTTTTAACTCTAACAATAATATGATGACTACCTCATAGGCCTCTCCCTCTGTCGGTTGCCTCCCTCCCACCCTCTCCATTTGGTAAGAATCAGTTCTGCTTCCTTCCAACCTGTGTTCACAAACTAGCAGAATGGTCCTTTTGGGTCCCATGTCAGCGTCAGCTGAAAGCCCCGGCAGTGGCGGACACAGCAGGACCAGGTGGGAACCCTGCCTGTGAGTTATGCATAACTGACCTGGACCCCTGAATCCCCTCACCCACCACCCACCCCATTCCTCTCACAGATTCCACAGCTGCAGGAACCCAGCCTTAACCTGGAAGTCTCCTTCATCTCCTTCTCTGAATCCCTCACCCAGACTGAGGTCCACCCTGCAAACACTGCTCTTCTCTGATCCCAGTGATACCTGATTCATCCTTAGCACCAGGTCTAGAGTCGTATGCGCCCAAGATGTTCACCGTCTTCCTTGGGTCTCCACCCCTACTTTTGGCCATCCTGTCCTGGCTGAGACTAGTGTACCTTGCAGACAGACATGTGTCCCCTCTGGAGGGGCCTCCCCTCCTCGTGCTGGGGAGCCCCTGACAGTGGCATCCCTGCTTCCTCTTCTTTTCCCTCCCCTCCCCCACCGTGCCCAGGGAGCGCTGGGACTCTGGGGTGCAGGGGAGCAACCGGAACCCACCTCATCAAGACACAGCTCCTTCTTGATCAGTTCCTTCAGCTCCTTCCTACTCAGAGTCAGTTTGCTGCCCTCTCTCCCAGAATATTTATGGAAAGTGGTGACCATAGTGGTCAGGGCCTTCTCCAGAGGCGTCTCCATCACGGTGTGCAGTTCCAGAGGCTGAAGGGAGAGGGAAAGATCACATTCCCCAGGAATCCGGACCCCATCACTAATCCCTCTCCAAGCTTCTCCTTTAAGTGGGACCAAAGTCTAGCACGTGGACCCCAATGTCTCAGGACAGGCTGTAGTGAGACCCGCAGCAAATTTGGAAGAGCCAGAGCCTGACCAGCCCTGGAAGGAGATTGCACACTGTCCTGCTTAGAAGATGTTGAAAAAAAAGGGTCTAGGGGCAGAGGGAGTAACAAGCTGACCTCCTCAGAACTGGTGACAGATGGTGGAGCCAGTGAAGGGTCAGGGTTTTCTTCCAGCCTGACCCAGCTTGGGCACTCCTTTTCCAGAGGTCGTTCTCCTTACCCTAGTCACCCCCCTTGGCCCAGGAGCCTGAACCACCCACTATCAGGGAGTGTCTCATTACAGAAGTGGGGAACAGGGCAAAGAGAGAGTCTGGGGTTGGAGGAACCTGGGGCTGGAACTAGAAGATAAGATCTCAGCAGGAAGCTGAGAGGGGTGACAGGACTTGTTCCCCTGGTCCCCAGGCTCCAGCCCAGAGAACTGTACACACAGACCAGTCATGAGTCAGTGAAGGAAGTGGGCCTCCTCTCCAGGGTCATTGTGAGAGCTGGATCCAGAGACTGGGTCGACTGGGGCCCTCCAGTCCACCAGCCCAGCCACACACCCCTCCAAAGCTTCTTAGCTGTTGGAGCTCCTGTGACTCAGACTTGGAAACCACTTCCCCTTTAGGCAGGAAGGAGCCAACGCCCAAGGAACTTGGGGGCTGCAGGTAAATCTGTGTAGAGTCCTGAGCCAGGAAAGGAGGAGGAAGCTACTGTCTCCTACCCTCAGCCCGAAGCCCACCTGGCTATTCTTGGACTGGACCCATCATTCATCTCTTACCACCCCAAACCCTCAGCTTCTTGCCACCACCGGGAGACTCAGCCAGGACCACAGTGGAAGGCGAGGGTCTCGACAGTTGCAGCAGCCTCCTGGCTGGTTCTGATCCCCACCTCCACCTCCAGAGCCACTTCTCAGGAAATTCTCGTAGCCATGATGCCAAATACCCGGCCCTTTCCTCCCTGAACACATGCCCACTCATCAGACCCAGCCTTTCTTGGTGGAGGTCACCAGAGCTTGTCAGCCTCTGGCCTCATCGCCCAGCTTGCCCTACCGTATAAATGAGCAGGGAGATCAGAAGGAAGGACTCACCAAGGAAGAAGGGAGCCGGAGAACTCACGCGGCAGACACAGGCTGCCTGCCACTGCTCTCTGTCTTTATTCCCTTGCTCCAGTCCCCAGGAAACCAGGGGAAAGAAAGGGCCAATAAGAAGGGGCCAGGGACAAAGAGGCTTGGGTCAGAGCCTCCTGGGACGTGGCTGCAAAGAAACCCCCTTTTGCCAATCTCATCTTCCTTGTTTCTAAACAGAGGGGATGGGAGCATACTGAATTTACCTTGGTAAATACATTTTCAATCCCAGTTTTGTCTGTCCAACCAAAACCCAGAACTCACAATCTGATGGGATGAAAGCCAGGATCCCTGGAAAGAAGAATCAGGAGGTATGCAGGGTATCCACCCATACCCTAGGCTGCTCTTTGTATTGGAGCCCTCCCATCCACCCCACGTGCAGAACAGATGCATCTCAAGATGGGAATCAGCAGGGGAAGATGTTTCCTGCCAAGGGCATGGTCAAGGTCATTAGCGAGCATGGAGACTAAGATTTTTAAAGGACTTTTCAATGATGATTTCTTCGACACCTCACTGGTAACCATGGGAAAAAATTGTCAGAGACCCTTGGGGAACTGAGAATCAGGGAGACCAAAGCGGAAATCGGGGCAGGGTAGGGCTGGGTGATGGGGTAGAGGCTGTGGACCCTAGGGAGCAGGTTCAAGGTGCAGTAATGACCAGGGTGTGGGTCAAGGAGATTTGCCTATATCCCAGGAGAGACTCAGACATTAGTCTGAGTCTCTGTGATTAGTTGCTCAGTCGTGTCTGACTCTTTGCAACCCCATGGACTGTAGCCTGCCAGGCTCCTCTGTCCATGAGATTCTCCAGGCAAGAATGTTGGAATGGTTTGCCATGCCCTGCTCTAGGGGATCTTCCCAAACCAGGGATTGAAACCGGGTCTCCCCCATTGCACGTGGAATCTTTACCATCTGAGCCACCAGGGAAGCCCAGGAATACTGGAGTGGGTAGCCTATCCCTTCTCCAGGGAATCTTCCCAACCCAGGAACCATGTCGGGGTCTCCTGCATTGCAGGCAAATTTTTAACCAACTGAGCCACCAGGGAAGCCCAGACATTGTTCTACCACCAACCAGTTCAAGAATGAGAAGAGAACAGAGTTAGGGGCTTAGTGCCTGTGGCTGATGCCACCTCACCCTAGCCTGCCTAGATGCTCCCTGCTGCCCCCAATTCCACTCCCACCCTCAGCTGCCAAAGGTAAAGAGGCAGCAGGGACTGGTCGCTAAGCAACAGGAGTTTCCAAAGTAGAGAGTGATGCAGAAGGGAGACTCAGGGGAGGGCACTCCAGTGGAAGATGGGCAGACCAGGGCGGGGGATGAGGGGGGAGAAGGAAGAAGTGGCAAACTTTTTCCTGGATCAAAATTCTATCCAAGTCTCTGTAGTCACACTCTGAAGGAACATCTGAGTCACCTACCCCACTCCTCTGCAACTTGAGAGAAAAACAATGTGATGAGAAGAAAAGGAGAAAGCTTGAAAGGTCACGGGAACCAGACCTTCTCTGTCTCTGGACCTGCCTTCTACTCACCTCTTCATTGAAGGTCCCTGTACCACCCAAGCAAGGCCTGGAAATCTAACCCCCACCCATTGCAGGCTGGAGCCGCTGGTCTTTAACCTAAAGAGAAGCACTATCATGCCTGATACATTCTGGAGGGTGGGGGAGGAGGGGAGGGGAGTCTCAATCCACTTATCAGATCTCAGGCCTGGAATTTTGTCTCCAAAACTCTGGTCACCTCCCACTATCTCCCTTCCTCCAAATCCAGTTACTGTCCTCCACTCATCAGTTCCAAGGACCTTTGTCCGCCTCTGATGGAGCATGACTGTTAACTGGTAACAAATCTCATCCTAGGGCCTCCGGGAGAGATGGGGTTAGAGAAGGATGATATTCTCATGCTGTGGCCATCAACCTGCCCTTCCTCCATGTCACCTCCCTGATCTGACCCTGGACAGGAAGAATTCATCTTTCCTGGGGTCTGAAGCCAGGGCACTGGAACAGGTGGCAGGCAGGGTCCGAGCTGTTAAGTGTCAGGATTGAGTCTTCCTCCCCATTCCACTCAGGCCTCACTACTTCCTCCCCATGACTCAGCCCTTTCCCCACCACCCCAGGGCACCCACACTCCATTCCAGACTCCAACCAGGAGCAGATGTGACCTTCAAATTCATCCCAGCCTCAGTCAGAGGTCCTGCCAGAGGCAAGGCTGGGGAGGTGGGATGGGTGAGAACACTGGCTAAGATCCTACGGCTGGAGTGTTCCAAGCCTCTGGGGTCCCTTGCCCTGCCTTTGGCCCCATCCAGAGTCCATTCTTTCCGCCACACACACACACAGTCGCCCACATCCCTCTCCCACCCTCACTCGTCTGCTCTCCACTCCCCACAACACTACAACTCAACTCCAGCATCTTCCGTTACCCCCTCCCCACTGCCCCCACATTGTACTCCTCAGGCCCCACCCCACGCCCCCAGAGTTTCTCAGACCATCAGCCTCGTAGCTTTCAAGAATCTTTATTGAACTTGTTCAGTATTGTGCTCACGTCTGGAGGAGCCAGGGTGAGGTGATGTGCCCACCACCAACAGGGAAGACCCCAGCTGGCAGCCCCCCACCACCCACACCTGAGGACCCTTCATTTTTTCCGGGGTTGCTTATCAGGGAAACCTTCGAAGAACTCATTGCACATCATGGCGATGCAGGACAGGAAGACACAGTACTCCTGGAAGTCTACCTCGTTGTCCTTGTTGCAGTCCAGGTTGCTCATCAGTTTCTGGAACGCAGCTTCATCCGTCCTTTTCTGCAGGAGGAAGAGGCTACCAGTGAAAACCAGAAGCGAAGTCGGGGTGGGGGAGTGGGGCAGAGCTAGGACTGGACGAGGTTTGCACCTCCAGATGGGCGCTCAGGAAGGCACCAGCACCCCTTGGCGGGCCTGGCTTTGGACTTCCAGGCCTAGGGGCTAAGCTACCCCTCAGATGAAGTCTGAGGACCTGGGTACAACTGGACAAAGGAGACCACAGCATCTTCTGCCAAGGTCATTTTAAGAGTCCAGTTATACAATGGTCATGAAAGCAATATATAAACAGCATAAAGGTTGATACAGATGGCATCTGGAATTGCTCGGGAGAATTCTGTAGGTGTGTGAGTGTCTGCAGAGAACTACATCTTCACGTCTACAAGCCAAATAGAAACTCAAAAATGGTTTATGGGGCAGGGGGATGGTGATAAAATAGGAATATGAGATTACCAGATATACACTACTGTATATAAAAGAGATAAGCAACAAGGATTTACTGTATAATACAAGGAACTGTACTCAATATTGTAATAGCTTATCATGGAGAAGACTCTGAAAAAACAGATATGTGTATATATAGCTAAATCACTTTGCTGTATACCTGAAATGAACACATTGTAAATCAACGATATTTCAACTAAAAAAGGGAAAGCATACAACTTTCACAGAATCTTAAAAAAAAAACAAAACAAGAGGTTCATTGCTGGAGTGATGGCAAGAGCTCAAGCATCCTAGTTCATGATCTCAGCTTTAAGCACTGGGTACCTTGGGAAGTTACCTAGCCTCTCTGAGCATCCGTTTCCCTCCAGGGAAGTTGTGCAGAGCACCGTACCCTGTCTATTCACTCTGCCCTCTCTCTGAGGGTGCTAGCAAGTGAGCGGTGGGCGCCCACTGTGCTTTGGCCCCAGGCAGCCAGGGTAAGCTCTCTGCCCGGAAACTGCCCGTGTCAGCAGCAGATACCAGCTGTAGGTAGTGCTGAGCAGAGGACGGGTGCCTCCCAGGCAGTGTCACTCACCCCCAGGAAGCTGGGCAGCTCCCGGGTCAGCAGCTCCTTTAGCTCAGACTTGTTGAGTTTGAACTTGTCGCCCTCCTTGCCCGAGTACTTGTGGAAGGTGGACACGATCACATCGAGGGCCTTCTCCAGGGGGTACGCCATGGCAGCAGTCAGGAGCTGGGGGCAGGGTCACAGAGACAACCTTATTTTCCCTACCCCACCCCCAGCTATGTATTTGGAAATGCCCCCCACTCCCATCCCTCAGGGAGCACATTGGTGACACTGCTCCCATCCAGAAAGGGGTACAGCTCCTAGCGGGGTTGGGGAATTTATGCTTGAGGCAGCAAACTCCTGCAGGGCCTGGTGCTCAGGCTCTGGGTTCCAGGCAGCCAGCTCCCCAGAAGCACTTTCTCCACCCTCACTTGGTCCATTCACTCAATCCTACGGGCTCAGCCCACAGCAGCCCCACCCCAGCCCATTCTTTCCCCCTCCCAGCACTGAGCTGGGCGAGGCTGCTGGAGGCTTGCCCAGGGGCCTAGCGGAAAAAACCAGTGCATAGGGAGGGGCAGGGTGAGGTGGCAGCGGCACGGATGCAGGGGAGGGACAGGGAGGCCACCCTCCCTTGGGCCAGGCTGCTGTGTGCAAGACCGAGGCTCCTAGGACCTAACCAGCCAGAGCCCACAGTCACCTTCTGCCTTCACTGTGTTTTCCACACCCAAGTGTGCCCCCCAGCAGACACCAGCCATCGTGCACACCCACCAGTCACATGCACCACAAAACATACAGCAGTGACAACGCACGCAAGCCCCAGCATCACAGAACCCCCCAGACAGCTCCCACCCAGCCACCTGCACCCTTGTTGTTCTTCCTTGAATGCACACGCACTTGTGCACACACACACCACCCACCCCAGAGCCTCCACATCGGAATCTCACATCTGGACCTGTTTATCACCTCTCGCCCCCGCCCACCTCCCTTCCTCCTGCCCCCAGCCTCAACCTGACACCTCTTGCGTGCCAGTCAGGCGACCACAACTCACCGAGAGAGAGGAAGTGCTGGGGAGAGATGATGGGGAGAGAGGAAGAATGGGGAGAACCCAGCAGTCTGACCTATTTATACCCGGGCCAGGCCCTGCCCATGGCAGGGGATGGGGGAGAACAGGACCCAGCCCTCCTATCGTGGGCTGATGTGGTGAACGCCACGGCCCCCCTCCACCCCCCTCCACCCGCCCAGCCTGGAAAGCCAGCTTCCTGCCCCAGCAGGCACAGACGGACACAGGAGAGCCCCAGGGGCACAGGCGGGGGCCTGGAGGGTGGGTGTACACAGCTCAGCTTGAGTTTTAGGGAGCTGGGGCAAGGGACAGGTTGTGCCTGGGATACGTATGAGGGACAAGGAGGACGTGGTCCCCCCAGGCAGCCAGCATAGAGGGGTGGAAGGTGGCAGGTGGGAAACTGCCCTGGAACGTGGCAACCCAGAACACAGGGAGAGCACCTCAGGCTTGGTGCTGGGGGCGGCTCATGCCGCCCTGCGCCCCTCCCCAAAGAGCTTCCTACTGTGTTGAGTGAGCCCCGGGACAGGAGCTGGGGGTCTGGGCGGAGGAACAGGCTAACACCCAAAGGAGGCTTGGGGACACCCCAGGCACATGCTTGGAGAAAGGCACTGGATGCAGAAGTGATGGAATGGGGAAAGAGGGGCATGCCCTGGGGCTCAGGGAGGGACTGAAGAGACCAAGAGCATGGCGTGGCAGAAGGTGTTGGGAGGGGGCTTGGATTTGGGCTGGGTGTCAGGGATGAAGATGGCAGGTAGCAGAGGAAAATTAGAGGTGACGCAGCACAAAATGAGGGGAGGCACGGATCAGGGGACCCTCCCAGGGTGAGGTATGAGCTCAGGGGAGGAGTCAGGGGTTAAACCCCTCAGGTGGCTGTGGCTTCAAGGAGAGGGGTCTGCCTAAAGGTCTCTCTCCTTCCCCCTTCAACAGCAGAGCACCCGCCCCCAGATGATCAGGGAGCAACACCCTAGTCCAACCCCTAATCCGATTAGTGCTACACTCTGGGCTCTCATAGCCCAGGGCGGGGAACAGACCCACCCTCTCCCCTACAGCCCCACCCTCCTCCCGGAACAGCCGGTCTGGGGTCTGAGTTTGACCCCCCTCTCACCTCCTTCACAGCCGAAGGAAGCTTCGTCTTCAGAGACCCGCCCAACACAGACAGACAGACAAGAGAGCCCCCCACCCCACCATCCTCCCGTGGACATTGTCCCCGAGTTGCCCCATGCCTTCCTGTTGGACATTGGGACCATTTCATTTCCTCAGGGTCTGAAACTGCCCTCAACCTCCTGTCCTCCCGTGGAAAAGTCCAGGGAGGCGTGATGCCTCAGTGGGACTCTTATCCCAGGCCGTCGTCTCAGAAGAACCAAACGAAGCCAAGTGATGCCAGTTCTTTATTAGGAACAAAAGAGGCCTTTGCTGCCACAATCTCTCTCCCAGACATGCTCTTCTGGGCCTTGACAGCCACCACCGCTGTGGCTGGTGGGGAGGCAGCAGCTGGCTGCTTTTCAGATCACTAGCTGTGATCCTGGGGATGGTCCCCTCGTGTCTCCTGGACTCATGGGTTGGCACACCAGGGGCAAACCTGGGAGATTCTAGAAGGAGGGGCACGGGGGGCTGGGAAGGGGAGAGCTGACGTGCCCAGGATGACCTCAGGGCAGAGAGAGGACCCTGACCTCTGCCCTCCGACAGCTGCCCTGCCCGTTACTGGGAGCAGGAGGGCTTCAGGGGGCTGTCCTTGAAGGACTCATGGCAGTAGACGCAGAGGCAGGCGAGCAAGCGCATGTACTCCACAAAATCCACCTGGCAATCCTTGTTGGTGTCCAGGGCACTGATGAACTGCTTGTACTCACACTCCCGAAGCGTCGTCTGTGCGGGGTGGGGCGGGCAGGGAGGAGAAGGCGGGCTGAAGAGGGCAGGGCAGCCTGGTGCACACAGCCAGCTTCCCTCCCCTCCACGCCTCCTCCCCGCAGTGGTCCCAGCCGTCAGCAACCCATGCCCCTGGGGTCAACCTCAGCCTCCCCGTTCTGAGGATTCACCAGGTCAGTTCCCCTCCCAAATCCTCTTTCTCAGCTCATTCACCAACTGCCGACTGCGCGTCAGGCGTTCTTCACAGAGCTCTCACTCAGCCTTCCCAACTGCCCTGCCAGACAGTCTGGGAGGTGATTTTCTCCCACTTTACAGATGAAGAAACTGTTGTGCCCATTTCCCTCCCAGCATCCCTCCCCACAGTCTAACCTCCACCCCCTCGCGCCCCAGACTCAGAGCAGGGTCTCTTCACAGACCCCAAGCAGTGCTTCCCTCGCGGTCTCAGCCCAGGTGCTCACCGGGGTCCAGGTAGGCAGCTCCTTCTCCAGGAGTTCCTTGAACTTCGCCTGGCAGAGCGGGTTTCCAGAGAGCTGTGAATATTCCTGAAAGGTGCTCACAATAGTAGCCAACGCCTGCTCCAGAAGACTGGCCATACTGACTGTCATGGAACAAAGGTGGCAGAAGCCAAGTCAGCCCCTCTTCTCACCTCTGCATTTCGAGTGTCCCAGGGACTGCGCCCAGACCTGGATTAACCCCCTACATGTTTCCGGACCCACAAGCTCCCCCTCCTCTGAGCAGCCCTCCTTGACCACACCAGCTCCTCCTCATTTATTTTCCGACCACCCCCACCCTCTCCCACCACCACCACTCATTCTATTTCTGGACAGAGGCCTTAATTGCCCAACCCCTTAATTGCAAACCCCTCAGGGAGAGTGGCCCCCCCTTTATCTCACTCCCCCACAGTGGTGGTAGTTTAGCCGCTAAATCATGTTGGACTCTTTTGTGGCCCCATGAACTGTAGCCAGACAGGCTCCTCTGTCCATGGGATTCTCCAGGCAAGAATACTGGAGTGGGCTGCTATTTTCTTCTCCAGAGGATCTTCCCAATCCAGGGATCAAACCCTGGGTCTCCTGCCTTGCAGGAGGGTTCTTTGCCATCTGAGCCACCAGGGAAACCCCCACCTATTTTCTCCATCTTTTCTCATCTGACACCCAACAATGGCTCAGTCCAGCTCTGCCTCACCCTCTGAGACACAGCCCCCTGATCCTAGAATCTTCCTCCCCTTCAGGACCCCAGAGCCCCTTCCATAGGAACCTGCATGGAGATCCTGGCTCTGGGCTCCTGGCCTCAGGCCCTTGGCAAAGCTGAGCATCCTTAGAGAGAGTCAGGTCTCAGAGGAACCCCTACAGTCTCACCACCACCCCCTCACCATCCCTTCTGCCCTGAATTCAGGGAAGTGGCATCCAAAGACCCACTATGCCTCTGACTAGCTGTGCAGGTGAGGATGAGCATTTACCCGGTCTGGGTCTCAGGTGCCTTATCTGTGAAATGGGGTTAATCCCACCTCACAGACCTAATCAGGGACCTGAATCAGATGGTCTCTGGAGACAGCCAGCTCCCATAGGGACCAATCCATGATCTGCCCCAACTACGGCCATCCCCCTGACCCCCAAGGGTCTTGAGACCGAAGGCTCTGCAGACAAGCACCCCGTTCTGTTAGACGGGAAGCCCTCCCAGCACTGCCCACCCACCCTCATTCCACTGGCCCCTCCCACCGCCCTCCTGGGAGATGCCTCCAGCCCGGGGAAACCCTAAGGCAGCCAGGAAGACATGTGTTGTTTCCACGTGAGTGAGTGACTCACTCCCGGTTCCCCCAGGGGACAGGAGTCCGGCAGCACGCGGCAGCCTGGGCCAAGGCTCTCCCGCCCTAGTGCTGAGCCCTGCAGACGGTCAAGAGTGGGGAGAGAGAAAGGGGTTAAGTGCTGCCTGGGGTTTAACGCTTTGTGACAGCCCAGGATTGGAGCAAAATTCCGGGTTCCCAGGAGATGAAAGGGCCGTGATGGCAGGAAATAGGGAAATGCAGAGGAGCTGAACTGCCCTTCTGGGCTCCCACCAGCCTGCCTGGCACCACCACTGTGGCTTTTTCAGGAGCTCGGTGCCTAGAGACTAGAGGGAATCCTCTCTTGCCCGCCTCCTTGGCCCATTTCGCCCCCTGGCAGGAATGAAGAGAGTGGGTTAAGGGGGGAATTAACTATGGGCAACAGCAGTGGTTTAAGCCCATCTGTCCATCCCTCGGCTAGACCTCAGCTCTGCACACCCCTAAACCCAAGCTCCTCAGCATCGCCTTACTGTGCCTGGAACCCCTGAGTCTATCATCCGACTCCCCTCACCTCCTCAGTCCCTGCTGTGGTCACCCCTCTGGCCCCAAGTTCAGACCCTGAGCCAGGAGACAGAACTCGGGCTGACCAACACCCAGACCAGGGCAGGACCCAAGCAGCTGGCACTCACCTCTGATGTTGACGTTTCGAGTGGAGGAACCTAGAGACAGGACATCCCTATTTGTAGCCTCCCGATGAAGGAAGGGAGTAATTATGGGGAGATACAAGTAGGTCAAGCTCAGGATGCCCCCCAGGGGCTCCCCTGCCTCCTTCGCTGCCAACCCCTACTACACGCCCCACTCACACACCTAGCCATGCACACATCAAAGGCTGCAGACACCACCACCTCTTCATTTTCCCTCTGCCCTCCCCCAGCGTTGGGAACAGGGCACGGCCTCCTGTCCATCTCCTTCCTGCATGGTTAGAGGAGACAGGTCATTCCACAGCCGCCCCCTACCTCTTCATGCTGAAGAGGCATCCCAGAAGACAAAATGAGGACACACTTTTGCCTCACCCCCAGAGAATCCCTGCATCAGAGAGGATCCTGGTGAGCCTCTGGTTCAGCCCCCCCATTTATGGTGAGACCACTGAGCCCATGACTCTCCCTGCTGGATCCCCAGACCGACCGTCTTTGTGATGGGGGCAGAGTCCTGGTGGCTCAGATGGTAAAGAATCTGCTTGCAGTGCAGGAGACTGGGGTTCAATCCCTGGGTCGGGAAGATCCCCTGGAGTAGGGAATGGCTACCCACTCCCATATTCTTGCCTGGAGAATTCCATAGACAGAGGAGCCGGGGGGTACAGTCCATGGGCTCACAAAGAGTCAGATACAACTGAGCTACTAACATTTTCACTTTCAAAGGGACAAAATAGGTGATTGAATAGGTAACCCCACTAGGGGATGGTACGTAGAAAAAATATGGAAGACCTCTGAATGTTAATGATTACTCAAGAAAGCAGGTTTGCTGTTGTTTAGTCGCTAAGTCATGTCTGACTCTTTGCAGCCCCATGTACTGTACCCTGCCAGGCTCCTCTGTCCATGGAATTTCCCGGGCAAGAATACTGCAGTGGGTTACCAGTTCCTTCTCCAGGAGATCTTCCTGACCCAGAGGTCGAACCCACATCATTGGCAGGTGTATTTTTTACCACTGAGTCACCAGGGAAACCTGCAAGCAGGTTTGCTTAACCACAAAAGCAAGCAGGCTTCCTTAGCAACAAAACCACACAACAGAAGCACAAGACATCCCCCAAAACAATGAAACATTGAGACCCACATGCTGCACAGTGAGCTCAGTAAGTTGATGATCCCTCGGACATGCTGTCTGTACACAGAAAAAAACAATAATTTGTGAACCTAGCTTGTCTGTGTAGAGACAAGAAAACTCCCTTGCTCAACCTGGAGGAGGAGCTGATGATAGAAGTGTTGATGTCTACTCAAGAAAGACAAAGAAGGTCTTCTCTCCCTCCCCACTTTTCCTGATTATAAAACTGGAGCCCACTAAGTTCTCACGGTGTGGCATCACTCGTCCTCCCGCTTGTAAGTCTCACAAGCGTCCTATTCCAGTAAATCATTTCTTCACTATATCACTTCACCTCTCCCTGAATTCTTTTCTGTGCTGAGACATAAAGAACTACGGTACTGGAGCTCTTTTGAGCCCCTGAAACAGTACCTAAGGATTTCGCTTGGACACGCTCGCTTCCCTGGGGGGATCATCAGTAGAATGACTTTGAGACCCAGGAGGAAGGTATGCTGCTCCTAGGGGCCCTTCCAGAAGTCTAGGCTGTGTTTTCCTGGCCCCCCCCCCACCCCACCCCACCAAGCACAGACTCACCCCAGGGCAGCCTGGAGCTAGAGCTCTTGTTTCTTGTCCTCCTGGCTCCACGTGGTACCAAGGCTGAGTTCCCTGCAGTGCCATGGGGTGGGGATAGGTTTCCTCTGGTTTGGGGCTTAAGGGTATAGCCCTTTGGGGTCCCAGCAGTATGTGGGGGTCTTCCCTTTGCCTCTGCTCCTCAAATGAACCCTTCCTGTTTCCACCAACAAAGCCAAAGATCACTTTGGCTCAGGTTAGTGATGTCCTCAGGACATGAGGGGCCTGGCGACGGGCTTTCTTCCTGGAATCTGCTTTCACTTAGATTTTGATCTCATTCCTTACTGCCTTGTGAGCTCTTTAAAGCTTGGAAGAGCTGTTTTTATTCTCTCCAGCACTTTTTGTTGTTTTTAGCTGGAACCAGCACAGATCACCACATTACCAGAAATGGAAATCCCTTTATATCACTTCTCTCCTCCCGCCCCTGATTCCTGGGCCTGAGAGACCCCTCCTCATTTCTCAGAAAGAGAACTCAAGATCCAGAAGAGTGTGGAATGGGGAAGAAATCCTAATGCTTACTATGGGGCAGCCAGAGAGTTCATGACACCTTGGCTTCCCTTGAACCCCCTTGCACATGAAGCTCAACCTTGCCATCAGCTCCCTGAAGACTCAGCTCCTTTAGATGAGGGAAGCAGGCAGTGGGAGGGCAGGGAAGGGAGGGCTGTGATTATCTCTGTTTTATAGGCAAGGAGTTATGGGGAGTAGGGGACAGAAGCAGGGGCCCAGTGGGGACCAGCGATTAATTCAGTTCTGGGTCAAGCACTTGTTCCCACCTGTGCCAGCCCAGGTATGCCATGAGCAGCTGCCTTCCTTAAGCAGATCACCTTACCTCTCCGGGCCTCACTTTCATCATCTGTGGATAACCAAGGAAAATAATGGTCACCATTTCATAGGATTGCTGTGAGGCATAAATGAGTTAACAGGTACACAGCTCATAGACAAATAGCGCTGGCACGCTGGCACCTGGTAAGGATGTAAATGTTAACTGAGAGGTAGGTAACTTGCCCAAGTCACACAACTAATTATGACAGGGTAAGAGCCATTCATTACTCATGTCAATAATTATTTTATTTTTTTAAGTGTACGTATTTTTGGCTGTGCTGGGTCTTCATTGCTGCACAGTGGGCTTTCTCTAGCTGTGAGGATTGAGGGCTGCTGTTCATTGCAGTGTGAGGGCTTCTCATTGCGTGGCTTTTCTTGTTGCAGAGTACGAGCTCTAGGCACACGCAGGCTGGGTTGCTCCATAGCATGTGGAATCTTCCCAGACCAGGGGTCAAACCTGTGTCCCCGGCATTGGCAAGTGGATTCCTATCCACTGCACCACCAAGAAGTCCTCATGTGAATATATAGAAGCACCTCTCCTAGGCATTGGAGGTATAGTCATAAACAAAACAGACAAAATCCCAGTTCTGTGGGAAGGACCCTCTAACGCAGGCAACAGACAGTAACAAACGTGTATGATAGATGGGTAACATAAATGCAAGGAAGAGCAAGAAAGCAGGGCTACAGTGGTGGGGCCTGGGGTACTTTATCGAGTGGTCAAGGAAGAGCCCGGTAACCTGAGCCCTCATCAGGTTACCCTCCCAGTCTGAGCTCTCCCAGTCTGAGCCCTCATCAGGTTACCCTCCCAGTCTGAGCTCTCCCAGTCTGAGCCCTCATCCCCCAGCCCTTCCTGTTTCTCAGCCTGGCTTCACCTCTCTGGGACTCCACCCCTTTGTCTGCCCAGAAGGAGGCAGGCAGGAGCTCACCCTAGGAGGTGACAGCTGAGGGGAGGGCGGGTGGATGGGAAGGTGTGGGAGGAGGTGCTTTGGGGCTGGAGCACCGTCATGAGAAGACCCCTTCGCTGAGCCCTCACTCTGAGCTCCTCCACCCTCCTCCCTCCACCTCGAGCCTGGCCTTTAGCTTGTTTGGGTCTTGATTTTTTTTTTGGGGGGGGGAAGGATCTGGAAGATTCCTGCCCTGAGACTTCAGTGTGAAAGTTCTTCATATCATTTGACGGTCCTGTGGAGTGTGTGAGAGCGGAGGGCCCTGCGTCTAATTCAGCAACCGCACGCAAAATCCCCCACTCGATGGAGGTGGCAGGAAGAGAAGCAGATGCTCTCTGACCTGGCAGGACTGTCCCTCCTCTCCATCTCTCCTCCCTCCTTGCCTCGGTCCCCCACTATCACCACCTTCACCTTACAAAGGCCTCTGGGAAACTCCCTTACCCCCTGAAGGTCAGTGTCTGGTTCTGCATCTCAGGGAGAAATAAGATGAAATGTCCTGGAGCATCCGAACATCCTTGTGCTTGTGCCACAAGGACCTGGGCCCAGGGGACAGGGTGACGCCCCCACCCCCAGTCTCATAGCCCGGTGGGGGTCAATGAACCTCCTCAAACTGACTCATCTCCTCTCTGTCATCATCTGAGCCCAGTGTGGAGACAGTGTGGAAAGGGATATCTGATTTACCAAGGCTAGAGCCAGAGAGGCC